GATGCCTAAAAGGTGGTGTGTCTGTCCCTGTTTTCAGATTATGTCATATGGCCCTGCACATTGTAATTTTTCAAATTCTACACACATATGAAGATAAAACAGGCCAACGTGTGTCATCACGGCAGAGAGTGAATAGGAATGAGAATTTCACCATCCAGTGAAAGTCAGGATGGTCAGTTAGGATCTGATTGCATGGGGACCCATCTGAACTATTTTTCAGATCAACAAGATGATGAAAGCTAATTTTATGATCCTAACCACAGGTTACAGGCTAAATAATCTCAGATCTAAGAGTTCATCAGGACGGCAAGTACTGCTGCAGGCCTCTCTCCATTCACTCACCCTGTAACCTTGTCCTGCCTCCTCCACAAGTTCTGTGCTGTGTCCTCTGTGCTGGGGGCAGCGCTCACAGCGCCAGCAGATGAGCTGCCCGTCGTCCTCACAGAACAGGTGGAGCTGCTCCCTGTGTTCCTCAAACAGCCTCACATGCCCCAGCTCCTTAATGCTCTCAATGAGTTTTTCTAGTTGCTTTATGGGCCAGAAATTGTCCTTCTTAAATGGTGCCCGACACAGGGGACAGTGGGACCGCCTCACCCCTGCTGCTCCTTGTTGATTCTCAAGTCTGTCTGTTATGCACCTGCGGCAGAAGCTGTGCCCACAGTCAATGCTCATTGGCTCTGTCATGAGCTGCTGGCATATGGGGCACGTGGCTTCCTTCTTGGTAGTGAGGGCTAAAGCCATGGCTTTCTGAAAACTCCAGTATTGTGGTTAGAGTAGATGGAATAGCCACATGATGGAAATACACAAAATGCCGAACTTTATGCTTCCATAGGTCTTGAAATCATCTGTCTAGAAAGCAAATGGATTGGAGTTTGGTTGCTGTTTGTGGTCACTAAAACATAAAATGAAATTTAAAGTTCAGTTTCATATCCACTAGTTGTGTTTGAGCAGCTTACTATCTGCCTACGAATGTGGCTACTTGACACCCCAGAGACAGAGAACATTCCATCTTTATAGAAGACCTTTTCTACTTGGTGCTAAGAGGGAGAGAAGCAACACAGGCTTCTTCACAGAAGTTGCAACAAGAGGACCGCCACCGGTGGCGCAGGGGTTAAAGACAGCACTATCAAGCTACAGGCAGTCGCTGCAGCGTGAGCTGTATTCCAGGCTGGGCCCGGGAGCTATCCTCATGTTGCAGCAGACCTCTCCTGTCTCACCCGCTGCTCCCCTCAGCAGTGTATTTCAGTTTAAGCGCTCGTTCTGAACCCCATTCTCTCTAGTGAATCCTCTTACCATCCGTACCTCTGGCTTGTACCCAGTTCTTGTATGCATAAATAAATAAATCTTCAAAAAAGTTTCAACAAGAGATAGAAAAATCTGAGGGAGAGTGAAATACTTTCCTAGTAAACATCAAGAATACTTAGCACCTGAAAACTTCTTTGTGCTTGGCAATAACACTTAGGAACTGGGTGGACTGTGAAAAACTCCCAATCACATTTAACACTATTTACCCCACACCCCCAACTCTCCCTAACCCAATTTCACCCCCAAGCAACAAACCCAGTAAACAGTCTCTGTGAAGACCCTATCGGGTCACAGTCAAAATCAGCAACAAAACAGGAAGAAGCAGGTATTAGGAAAGAGCTGGGAAGAGGAGTCAGTCCTGGGAGCAGGGTCTCTGGAGACCCCCAGTGACAATATCTCTTCCCCAGGCCACGACTTGTCTCCCAGGAGATTTAGGGTGACTGGATCAAGGGAGTGTGTAGAACCTAGGAAGCAGTGGGTAAGGCCCGGCCCCCTGGGGCTGGGTGTTCACCCCCTACATCACAGTGAGCATCTGACACCCAGAGACAGGAGGGGAGTGACCAGGACCAAGAGTCAGTCCTTCCCACATGAGGCTGCTTCTGGACCCTAGTCTGTTCCCCTGTCCCATTCCTGGTTTGTGGTGGGAAGGGGGTGACTTCTGGAGGCTTATTGACCTTTCCTTTGATGTGACATACTCAGAATTAAGAACCAGGATTCAATTCAAGTTGCTGATTGGGCTATTTCCCTCCAACAATAAGGGCAAAGCTCTCCAGTCATAGAGAATTAACTGGAGACTTCTTTTCCTTCACAACTTATTTCCCTCAAAGCATGTATTAGATTCATCTCTCCTAAGGGCTCTGTGTTCCTGGGAAGAAAGTCTCCCCACTCCTTACACCGAGGGTGCAGGTCCTGGGCCTTCACTTACCTCTCATGCACCATCTTCCGAGATGGGGCATGAAAGCAAAAGAGAAAGAGATGGGGAGAGAGGACTAGAGAGCAACATCCTAATCAAAGTGCTTTTCCCACTGCTCCCCGCCTACACACACACAAACACATGCACACACAGACACATTAGCTCTTCCCGACACACCTTGGCCTGGCGTCGTTCACCACCTGCACCACTCAGCACAGCCGCACACTCAGGGTGGGGTCCCTCCAGCTGCCACTCCCTGCACCTACAAAAAGGAAGTGAGCTCTGATCTAAATCAGAAACGAAACTTACTTGGGGGGACTCCTGGACATGGGGAGGAAACTGTGACTCTGTCCACATGTCCTGAACTGGAGTGGGGCACAGGAGAGGGCACTCTTCATTTACAGCAACAGCAGAAGGGGTAGATGGTCGCCCTGGACGTTTCTGTCACCCCCAGTCTCTCAATCAGCAACCGCAGAGGTCACTTCACAGACTCTGACTTGAGCGCTCTCTACTTTTGCCACCAGATTTCTTGGGAGTCCAAGACTCTCCTCAACCATATTATCCTTGCAATTTCCAGCCCTTATTGTTGCAAACTGCTCTGGAGGGTGTGGTGGGAAAAGGGGGTGACAGCAGCAGGGCTCATGGACACTGCAACACTTTCCCACATCATCCTCCCACTCTTGTTGCGTCTCGCTTATCTCCTCAATTTTGCTCTGCAGGACTCTGATGGGTATGAACAGCCGGAGTCACCACCCAAGAGAGCACAGGAGCCATGAGGTCCCTGCAGTGAGTGGTCTGCACCACGTGGGTGCTGCGCCACCAGGGCTGTTGCTTGTGGAGGAGAGACTGGTGGTCAGGGGTCAAGTATTTAGTGCCTCACCTCCAGCACCTCTAGTTCAATAAAGAACACTATATTGAGTTACAATTAATGGAAAAAAACAGGTTATCATCACAAAACAAGGCTCTGCCATGTTTATAGACTCTGGTGTAAAAGGCATTTATGATAAAAACATAATATTTTTGCTTAAGAAATAACTTCTAGGTCTCCCTGGTGGCACAGGGGGTTAGGACAAAACCTATGAAGCAATCCGCAGCCACTGCAGTACAAGTTTGATCCCCAGCCACATGTTCGAGCTACCCACATGGCACAGCAGACCTCTCCTGACTCGCCCGCTGCTCCCCTCAGCAGTGTATTTCAGTCAGTCTGCCTGTTCTGTTCCCCACTCTGTCTCTGGTGGGTCCTTTCACCCCACCCCACCCCCCCCCCGCCGTGCTCTGGCCTGTACCCCAGTTCTTGTGTGCATAAATAGGTAAGTCTTAAAAAAAAGAAGAAAAAAAAAAAGAAATAACTTCTGCAGAGTCCGAGGGGCTGGTCGGGAGAAGGGGGAGCGGGGCAGGAGAAGTGAACTGGGATTCTAGAGCTGCCTGTCTGTGCCCCCAGGGAGGCCTGAGAATCTTTACTAAATAATTTTTTTTAGAAATGACAAGAGGAAGGAAAATTATTTCTGGGTGGGACATAATGGGAAGGCAAATATTAGGAATGGAAGAGTAAAAAGTGTTAGTTTCAGCCACGTTTGTTATGTGGACCCCTCTAGTGTGGTCTCTGGACTGATAAAGTTCTAGGTAATGTGGTGCTACTTCTACGCTCCTGGTAGAGAGAAGATGAGACACATTATATAAATTTATGCCCACACTTTTTTTTTTAATAATAAATTTTATTTTTATATTCCCCATACAATTGCAACCCCCTTATTTTGAACCCAATCCCTCCCCTCCCACCCCTTACCCCCCATAGAGTGTCTCTGGTTCATAGTTTTTTGTTGATTTTGATTTTTACTTTCTTATAGTTATTCATTTTCCTGGTCCCTTATTTAAGTTTTCTAGATTCCTGCTATGAGTGAGACCATCCGGTATTTTTCTTTTTCTTTCTGGCTTATTTCGCTGAGCATGATCCCTTCCAGCGCCATCCATGTTGCTGCAAATTGCATGTGTTTATGTTTTTTGAATGCTGAGTAATATTCCATGGTGTATATGTACCACATCTTCTTGATCCAGTCATCTATTTTTTGCCCACACTTTTTTTTATTTAAATATTTTATTTTATATGCTTCTTACATCTTTTTTTCATTTTTGCACAATGTATGCTTTTCATTTTGGTTATATTCCCCATACAATTCCCCGCTCACCCCCTTATTTTGACTCTAGTCCTTCCTTTCCCCACCCCGCCCTCCCTCCCCCAGGCCCACACTTTTGCAATAGGGAGAGAGCAGAGAGCTTTTTATCTCAGCTTTCTCAGTCACCTTAATTTCAATGTAAGTCATATGCCAAAGTGGCATATTTGGGGTGCTCCATTCCACAACACTGTATTTTCAAGTCACAACCCAGCCTCTATCAGCATGACTAGGAGACCTTGTGAGGCTGAGGTGGGTGGTGGGTGATGGATAATCTGACCTCTCGCTGTTTCCCTCTGGGTGGACGCATCCAACATTCCAAAAACACACTTAGACGTCATTGTCCTCCTCGTGAGAGGATGTCAGAACATTTCAACGTCAACACACATTGATTTTTTTTTTTAAAGATTTATTTATACAAGCACTGTGTACAGTCAGAAGTGCGGGGAGGGTGAGAGAATTCACCAGAGACAGAGCAGGGAGCAGATCAGGCAGACGGACGAAGTACACTGCTGAGGGGAGCAGTGGGCGCAGCAGGAAAGGTCTGCGTGCCATGTGGGACCCTCACCAGCGGCCGGGGATCAAACTGGCGCTGCAGAGGCTGCGGGCAGCTTCTCAACCCAGCGCTCAACCGCTGCGCCACCGGGGAGGCCCACACATTGATTTTTATATTAACTACATACCATGACATTTAGCAATTTGGTGACTTTCTTGGGACATCACTAATGCAGTTTGAGATATGGCTGACTGCACCATGGTGCCAGCCTTGGCTTACTTAGGTCGGATAATTTAAGTATGATAAGGATGTATCTGTGTATTGCAAGGCCTATTATGTCATATCTGGTGAAAGAGGCTACCAAAATACTACCAGCGAGAAATACTTTTTCAGATTTTAAAATATTTCAAGATAGGGCCTCCCTGATAGCCTGGGGGTGAAGTCTCAGTGCTATCACCACTACTACCCAGCCAGGGAGTCAACCCACATATGGAGAAGCACACCTCTCCTGTCTTACCCACTGCTCCCCTCAGCAGGGTATTTCAGTAAATCCACCTGTTCTGCTCCCAACTCTGTCTCTGGCAAATCCTCTCACCCCTCCCATCTCTGGCCTACACCCCAGTTCTTCTACACACACAAAAACAAATTAAAATTAATAAAATATTTAAAAATAGGTGGCACTAGCGCAATCTGGAATAAATCAATTTCATTTCTAGACTGAAGCCTTGTCAGAGTTCTTTTTTACAATGAATCTCCTCCCTGTCTGAACCCTCTCACTGTAAACCACTGTAGCTTTTCTCTCACACGTCACCTGCTTGTCACCTAAGTAGACTCCCAGGACATCAACTCTGTGGTTAGAAGGGTCACCATTATTTTGATGTTCCTGCTCTTCTCTGCAGTTGACAGGGACAACTACAATTTCCCCTCCTCCCCACACCTGACTTCTGATGCTATCAAACAAACTGAGAGCACTCACCCCTCTGACCTCTGGCCACCCTGCTGTCAGACCAGGAACTGGGAAATCAGAGATCTGAACCCTCTGAAGATGGGTGGAGAGGACAATGTATACCTGTGGATGTTATCTTACATTCTCCACTGATTAAATATTTTTAGTCTGTATATACATTCACCCAATGCAGATCTATCTAGTATCCACCCAGAGTTGGCACTGTTCCAGGTACAGAAAAATGTAAGTGAAGGAAAGACCAAGTTTCTTCCCTGAGGGAACTTTTATTATATTCTCTAGGATGGTTATACCCAGAAGGAGGCTACGAAAACCTATTCCTTTCTTTACTATTATTGTGAATTTAGGAATAAAGCGGAACCTTGAGAAACCCCAAAAAAGGGCCGGAGAGTATCAGAGAAGGAGGCCCTTGGGAAGGTGAAGATGTGGGAGACAGTACTTGTCATGTTGTAAAAGGACACACGTCCGGCCTCACAGTCCACAAAAACCCCCAACACCCAGATTTGCTCCTTCAGAGGAAGGCAAGTTGGGGGATAGGTAAGGGCTACGTAATCTTTCCCTTCGCATGATCTAATGACCCAGAATCCAGACTTAGGTTGCAGACTCATGGGAGCACCTTTGGGTACATTTTCCAGACAAACACCTAAATCCCACCCAGAATCTACTTCCACATTCACTTCAAAGTAATGTCTTCCTGAGGTGAAGCACTCACAGCCAAGAACCCAGGGTAGGTCAAGAAATCTTAGAGAATTTCCAAGGTTCAACTGGGGCCCACCATAGGTCACTTGTCTTCGATCGTCAGAGACAATTGTGTCAGTATGAGCTGTGCCTGGATCCAGGGTCACACGGACTGCAAAATAAAACAAACAGAAAACAAAAAAAGACATGTTTTTGATGTCTTAAGTTTTCTTTTTTGTTTTTTTTAATAAAGATTAATTTATGTATACAAGAACTGGGGTACAGACCAGAGGTATGAGGTATAAGATGATTCAACAGAGACAGAGTGGGAGCAGAACAGGTGGATCGCTGAAATGCACTGCTTTGGGGAGCAACAGATGAGACAGGAAAGGTCTGCTGCGCCATCTGGGTCTGCTCCCTCACTAGGGATTGAACTCAGACTGCAGTGGCTGGGGATTGCTTCATAGTGCTGACACTTAACCCGTTGTGCCACCCGGAAGGCCCCTCTTTAGTTTTCAATAAACTTGCCTGTGTTCACATGTGAGCTTTGTTCCCTACTAGTGTCATCCTCTGACACTCTGTTAAATATAAAGCAGAAAGCCTATTGGCACAGAGAATGGTGTGGAAGATATTTGAATGAGCTAACATAAGCATAAGGGTTGGTAATATTCTTAGTATATGGGAAATGATCAATAATGGATAGTAAAAATAAATATCATCATCACCATCTCATCACTCGGAGAAGTCAAGGACCAGAACTACCCAGAGTGATAGTGTTACTGCCTCCCCAAAGTCCTTCATCTCCCATTTAGGACAACTAGGAATCACAGGATGCTTGAGCAGAACCACCCTTCCCATCTTTACTAATAATGATCCACACCAAATAAGAAAGTAAAATAACAAAGCTAACGTGGCAGCTTATTACTGACAACCCAGAATTTTACCCAGGTCTCAGGAAACCTGCTCCACGCTTTTTAAAGAATAAGCTCTTTGTCTTGTATCAGCTAATGGATTAGCATAAGGAAACAAACTGGACACCAATATACATAAAAATATGTAACTATTGATAGGGTCAAGTAAAATAGAAAATATATAATATAATATATAATATATAACACTTAAGTGTGACACTGCACAGTTGATGTCTTAAGTTTTCTTTTTCGTTGTTGTTTTTTCTCATGGAGTGGTAGTTCTAAATGTAATAAGAGACACAGGAAGAGATTTCAGTAAATTAGATTAAATGCTTGTATAAGCAGAGAAAGACCTAAGTCTTGCTACCTTGAGATACAGACCTGGAAATGGGGAGGGATACGTGAGATTTTTCTTCATGTCTGTCCTATTCTATTTAACTGATTACAATTTATTAGTAAAAATGCTTCATAGAAAATTTAACAGTAAATTTAGTTTTATTATTACTAATAGTGTAATTATTATATTAATAATGAACAAAATATATGTGCAGTAATATATTATAGAGTATGAAAATAATTAATGTTTATATTATAGTAAAACTAATATAATATATAATATAATATATTATATATTACTGTAATTATTAATATATTATAGTAAAAATACTAATAGGCTTTAATAATGAGGGTTTTAAAAAGAAGGTGATATATTTAATTAAGAGATAAGTCCATTTTACAAACAGGTTGCCTTGAACCTCCTTGAAATGCCATGTATGAAAAATAAAAGAAGGCAAGTCAGCTCACTGAACTCTGGACATGACTTTCAGAAAGTTCTGATTTTTCCTTCCTTGCATCTCTGTGAGTTCAAATTCTGAGATACTGTTTTTGGTGGTTGCTGCTGACATTAACTTGACACTAACTGACATTAACATAAAAATCTACAATCCCTTGTCTACAACAACTAGGCATGGGGCAAATATTAAAATTCAGAATATTTTTGATGTTTTAAATACATAACAATAATACACACTACATGGTGTACCCACCCCTGGCAGGGGCTAGGTCAGGCACATCCTCAAATGCATCAATAACCCTGCAGCAAGTGGGACAAGTAAATGTCTCCTATAGTGTCATATCAGTGTGACGTAGGATTAACCACTGAGGAAGGACAGACCCAAGGTGGTGTGCCAGACCCCTGCCTCCTCCTTTCATAGTCTTGTAGCACTTCTTCCATTTAACTGTGGGCATAACCTAAGATGCCTCTGATCAATTACCTCTCACCACTGGCAAAAATAATGGGATGTGACCCTTGATTATATTTCATTATATGATTCCATTTTAGTAGCTGACTTACTCTAGCGATTTTTTCTCCTGAGCTCCCTTGCAAGAAATAATTGGCCATGTTGGGAGGCCCATGGGCAAAATAATGAGTGGTGACTTCCAGAAGTTGAGGGCACTTCCAGCCAACAGTTGGTAAGAAGTCAGGGCCTAAATCCTATAACCATAAAGAAATGAATTCTGCCAACAACTGGAAGAAGATTGGAAGAGGAAAACCCCCCAATTGATCCACCAGATGAGCCCATAACTGCTCTCTGTGACCCCACCTGAGCTGGGCCCAGATTTCTGACACACGATACTGAGAGATAAAATGTTGTTTTATAAAAACACTAAATATTTTGCATCCATACATAACTAAAGCAGTCACCAAATCATTTCCAGTTAGGTCTCATTGTATGGTAAGTGAGTAATGGAAAATATTTAGTTGTCGGAGCATTTGAATTTTGTAATTGTGGCTAAGAGGTGATGGAAATATAACAAGCACTGATTAAGAGAATCAAGAGACAGGATTACAATTGGTGAAATGAGGTTTTCGTTATTATTCTAACATTTTCCATGTTGTCTGGGTCAAGGCCTTAAAACCATTAACCTTAAAGTCCATTATCCTCACCTACTCTCTCAGACTTGACTGAGACATTAACAATAAACATTATGTACGAGACACTGTTCTAAATACTTCATACAGATCGATGTATTTCATCTTAAAGACAACACAAAGAAATGGGAATTGTTAGTATTTTTACTTTTCCGGTGGGAAAACCAAGGAGGTCATATGCTTGGCATGACACAGGTAATAAATGGGAGAAGAGGAATTTTAAAAGCCTGCCCAGGGCCTCCCCGGTGGCGCAGCGGTTGAGCGCTGGGTTGCGAAGCTGCCCGCAGCCTCTGCAGCACCGGTTCGATCCCCGGCTGCTCCCCGGCCACCGGAGGAGGGTCCCACATGGCGCGCAGACCTCTCCTGCCACCCGCTGCTCCCCTCAGCAGTGTACTTTGGTCCTTCTGCCTGCTCTGCTCCCCACTCTGGCTCTGGTGAATTCTCTCACCCTCCTGCGCTTCTGACTGTACCCAGTGCTTGTATAAATGAATAAATAAATCTTAAAAAAAAAAAAAATACATGAAGCAAAAACTGACTAAAAAAAAAAAAAAAAAAGCCTGCCCAAATCACCAGTGTCCTGTGCCCCTGTCCAATCACTGAGGCATCCTAACAAGAGAGAGAGTGTGGCAGACCTGTGAAAATAACTAAACAACAGATGTGGCTATGAACTTGTCCAGGGGCAGTTCGTGAACTCGGTTATAACATGAGGTACATTTTGTCCACAGCACTTAAGGAAATTTTTTTGTTTTATTTTTTAAAGATTTATTTATTTTGGGCCTCCCCGGTGGTGCAGCAGGTTGAGTGCAGCGCTGTGAAGCTGTCCAAACCCTCTTCAGTGCGGGTTCAATTCCCAGCCGGCCAGGGAGATTACCATATGGCGCAGCAGACCTCTCCTGTCTTGCACACTGCTCCCCTCAGCAGTGCTTTCAGTCTGTCTGCCTGTTCTGCTGCCTGCTTGTCTCTGGTGAATCCTCTCACCCTCCCATGTCTCTGGCCCGTACCCTAGCTGTTGTCTAAAAAAATTTTTTAAATTTAAAAAAAGATTTATTTATTTATACAAGAACTGTGGTATAGGCCAGAGGCACGGGAGGGTGAGTGGATTCACCAGAGACAGAGTGGGGACCAGAACAGGCAGACAGACCATAAGCACTCCTGAGGGGAACAGCAGGCGAAACAGCAGAGGTCTGCCACGCCATGTGGGTATCTCCCTGGCTGGCCGGGAATGAACCAGCGATGCAGAGGCTGTGGACAGCTTCACGGTGCTGTGCTCAACCTGTTACACCACCAGGGAGGCCCTTAAGGAATTGTTAACTTCACAAACCTTGGTAGCTCTTTAACATTTTCTTCAAATCCAAGTAAAGCTCAGAAACATTGCACACAGTCTGAAGGTCCAAAGACACAGCCTCTGGTACTTTCAGCGTCACAGTCAAACTCCTAGAATCAGCAGAGGACAGAGACATCTGCAGTGAACATTCCATGAAGCTCAATGTACCGCTACTCCTTCACCCCTGTACTCATACAGCACTTACCTGACCAAGGTGTCTCTCATGTCCTAAAGAGAAACAAAGGCACAAGGTGAGTGTGGAGCAGCATATTTTATGGAGCTGGACATGTGGAATAAACTGTAATCATTCCTCTCAAAGAAGAGACGACACAGTCACAGACACTGACAGCTACCAGGTAGAGTGATACCTCTCCATCCCCTAGAGAACCAACATGGCATCTAGTTCTTCACCCACTGAGTCTAGTAACTTCCTTACTGTGACCTGGTGCTTCTAATCACCTCAGCCTGTGTGCTTCCTGGGGAAGAGGGACAGGAGCTTCCCATAGTCCCTCTAGAGATTTTCTTTCATGGACCTAAAATCCTTCCAAGCAGCCATATTAGAGGCTTATCACAAATGTCCACAGTGGTGAGCAGAGGCAGAGCCGCTGAAAGACCTACTCAGGTGGTGGCAGCAGGTGTCACCTGGTAATGGAGCTGTCACGCTACATCCTCACAGCGTGACCTCCAGTTCTATGGAAGGAATGAGAAGAAACAGCTCTAGGATATATGTGAAGGGGCTGGATCCTTCATGCTGCCTAAGCAAGGCCCCAAAAGAGCTCTTGAAGCAAGGACTACAAACAATTCAGAGAGAGTGTCTCGTTCATTGTGGCTGCCCTACTTTATCACCCACAAGTCAACTGGAGGAATCTTCTAGGAGAAAGTCTGCAGTCAGGGTGCTGTGCACGTGGGACAAAGACAGATGGTAGCTCAGAGAATCATAGCGTGCTTATTTCCAAGGAATCTAGCCTAGGTATGCAAAGTGAATCACATAAAGGCACCTATAGATTACTGGCGGCCACCTTTCAAATAACGATGTGTATTTAAAAGAAACGCTACTTTAAATTCCCTACAGTGATTCCGCACTTCCCAGAGAAGCTGGAAGACCTTGCCTTCTTCCCCTGCTTCTCTCCACTGTCCCCTTAACACTCGGGCACAGACGCCTCTTCTGCGTCCTCCCAGGGCACAGCCTCACCTGCAGCAAATCCTGGGCTGGGCCCTGACATTTCTTCTCTAGCTCCTGCATGTGGCTCTTGAGTTCCTGGCTCTGCTTTTCCAGACTCGCCTCATTGTCCTGCAGAATCTTCAGAGTCTGCTCTTTTTCCCTCTCCAGTCTCCACAGACAACACTTCTCCTCAACACGGAGGAAGTTGTAGAGATTCTCAAAATCATAATGGATTTTACTTTTCTCAAGCACTGTCTTCTCCTAGAATCAAGAAAGGATGCTCAAAAGGTGCAAACAAACCAAAACTCATTTGGAGATGAAATGAGATACGAAATGAGGTACATAAGCACTATGGGAAACTCTTCTGCCTTAGAAATATGGGGAGACTCATGGATGAGCCTTGAAGACATAATGGCAAGTAACATAAGTCAGAAAAAAATGACAACAATTTCATGATTGTTTTTCTATAGGTACGTAGTCAAATTTTAAAAGAAAGTAGAAGGGGCCTCCCCTGGTGGTGCAGCAGTTAAGTGCTGGACTGCAAGGCTGCCTGCAGTCTCTGCAGTGCCAGTTCGATTCCCGGCCCCCCAGCGAGGGTCTCACAGGGCGTGCAGACCAATCCTGCTGTGCCCGCTGCTCCCCTCAGCAGTGTGTTTCGTCATTCTGCCTGTTCTGTTCCCTGCTCTGGCTCTGGTGAATTCTCTCATCCTCCCGAGCTTCTGACTGTACCCAGTGGTTGCATAAAATAAAAGAAAGAAAGAAGGAAGGAGGGAGGGAGGGAGGGAGAGAGAGAGAAAGAGAGAAAGAGAGAAAGAGAGAAAGAGAGAAAGAAGAAAGAAAGAAGAAAGAAAGAAAGAAAGAAAGAAAGAAAGAAAGAAAGAAAGAAAGAAAGAAAGAAAGAAAGAAAGAAAGAAAGAAAGAAAGAAAAAGAAAGAAAGAAAGAAAGAAAGAAAGAAAGAAAGAAAGAAAGAAAGAAAGAAAGTTGAAGGCGGGGACAAGGTGGGAGGAGGGACAACAGGGACATTGTTCAGGGGGATAGAGATTAAGGTTGGAAGGATGAACAAGTTCTGCAGATGGAGAGTAAAGTTGGGGACACCCCAATATCAACATGATGGCCAATAATGTGAACACAGAGGATGCTGAAAATGGTAAACTTCATATGTTTATTTTAAAGGTCACAGACATTTATAAAAAGTTTTTGAGGGCCTCCCTGGTTGTGCAGCAGTTGAGCGCTGGGTTGCGAAGCTGCCCGCAGCCTCTGCAGCGCCAGTTCGATGCCCGGCTGCTCCCCGGCCACCGGAGGAGGGTCCTGCATGGCGCGCAGACCTCTCCTGCCACCCGCTGCTCCCCTCAGCAGTGTACTTCGTCAGTCTGTCTGTTCTGTTCCCCACTCTGGCTCTGGTGAATTCTCTCACCCTCCCACGCTTCTGACTGTACCCAGTGCTTGTATAAATAAATAAATAAAATCTTAAAAAAAAAAAGTTTTTGAGATACTGTGATACTTTGCCATGAGTCATCTGAGGTGGAGGAATGTGCATGTCCCTGCTGCAGAGTTCAGGCCCAGGAGGCAGGACTCAGATGTGGGAGAGGCTGTTACAGTTCTCTACAGTCAGCTGAGTTATTTCCATCTTCTTCAGCTGATGAATTATGGAAGTAGGGCCAAGGTCAAACACTAGTAAACCCAGTTTATGTATTTGGATGTAAGAAGGTATATCTCTCACTGATGAAACTTTGTGAAGCAACAGTTTGTGATGAACATCACCAAGACTAGACATTAACAGCAAGTAGGGGAGTCTATGATTATCAAGAAAGGGGCAGAATTTGACCAGAGTTACCAGAAATATTAATCAACCAACCCTGTGTCCCATTCACTGTTTTGTCTAAGATGGCAGAAGCAAATAATATTTCTTGTGGGACTCACTTTTCATTTGGAAGATACAGAATTGCAATTTCCACTGCTGATTTCTCAGTTCATGCAGCACTGTATGACTGTGACATTGTGGTCATGGATCATTATTAGGAAAAGTGGAACTTTTGAGTAGGAGGCAGGGACAGCTGGACTCAGGCATTGATGTGGTTTCCCTATATGTTTGTAACAATGGAAGTTCTCCCTTCACTACCCAAGATCCAAGAAATGAAGGAAGTATGACTGTCCTTTGAGGGTTCAAGCTTAACATCCACATACAAAGGATCAGGACAAAGGCTGGAAGAGACTCCAGAAACAGACAGAATGACTAAATAGTACAATTAACTGTGAAGCGATGGATTCCATCAGTGTGTTTATAGGGGTGTGGGCTCTGATCCTGTGTAAACTGTAGAAACAGACTTAGAGACCCACAGTGTGCAGTGGTCAGTGTATGTACCTGCTGCAGCTCCATCCTCATCACCAGCCTCATGAGCCGAGTAACATAATCTCACCCAGAGTGACCCTGTTCTCAGTGCTCACAAAGGATGACTTCTGAACACAGAAAGCAGAACTTCATACCCTGCACTGGGATAAGCGTGCCAAGGTGATATGGTTAAACCTTCAAAACAGGAAGTGATTTAGAATTTGAATTATTTAAATGCTGAGATCTTTACAACTTGAAACCTGGTCTAGGATGGTTACATATAAGAACGTTCAAAACTCTGCTTATACAGACTGAGATTTTGAGCATCCTAGACAATCATGGTTGCGAGGGTAAAAATAGGTAGATAACTTCTCATAGTCACTAGGGCCATAAAATAAAGGATGTTTCTTCTTAGATTTTAGCTATTTTGCCTGGTCTAGTGAGAATAAAACATGAAGTACATTGCCCAACCATCACTTTCTCAATGATATTGCATACATAGTAGCTTGAAATTAATGAACTCAATTTCTTACCCTCCATTGCCTTATTTGCTCTTTTGTGGTCAACTTCAGGCTCTGATATTGGTTTTCCTCTTCCCTCAGTTCAGTCAGAGCTTTCTGGAAAATTTCCTGATAAAAATAAGGTGGGACATTAGAGTTAATTTGTCAAGCTTTCTCAAGGAAACTTAATGGATCCCCATCTCCAGGACTATTAATAATAAGGAAGACTTTAAATGTTACTGACTCTCACGATTTCAGAGAAGCGCCCTCAGGAAAGTCTGCGCAGTAACATATTTGATCCCCTTATAACCCTGAGAAGTTGGGAGGATTTTTACCATCAGTACTGTGCTGTAGAATCTGAGGCTTAGGAAGGGGCTGAATGACATGCACCATCACTGGTGGGCCGCTGAGCTGTGATCCAAGCTCATCTGCTGACCAGAGCAGCTGACCCAAAACCACAATACTGCCAGGGAAGTGCTGCATGTGCACAAGATAATAACATACCCAAGACGACTTTCTCTAAATTTCTGTATATGATGAGATGTGCGTCCTTGCAGACTCTCTTCTAGAAGCTCCCCCATAAATCACTCCCATGGGCTGGGGAATACTAACTTCCCAAGTCAAGGGACTCCAGCATTCTTGTGTTGCTGATTTCCTTACCCTATTGACTTCAGGATTCCTAAAATGTGGTATGTCTCTACCCCTGTTTTCAGATTCACATGGCCCTGCACATTGTGGTTTTTCAAATTATACACACAAGTGAAGATAAAGCAGGCCGGTGTTGATTGAGCACACTGAAGGCTACAGCAGGGATCATCCCAGCAAGAGTGAATAAGATGGGATGAGACACTGACCACCTGAAGAACGTCAGGAGGACAATTAGAAATTTATTCAGTGGGGACTCATCATACACCAAAAAAAACCCAAAAAACAAAAAACAAACCATGATGAGTGTTTTAAGATCATAAAATAGGATTTCAGGCAAAAATAATCTTAACTCTGAGAGTTCAACAAGAGAACAGGTACTGCTGCAGGCCTCTCATCCACTACTCACCCTGTAGCCTAGGGCTGCCTCCTCCACAAGTTCTGTGGTGTGTCCTCTGTGCTGGGGGGAGCGCTCACAGCGCCAGCAGATGAGCTGCCCGTCGTCCTCACAGAACAGGTGGAGCCGCTCCTTGTGTTCCTCACACAGCCTCTCACGCTCCAGCTCCTTGATGCTCTCAATGAGGTTTTCCAGTTGCTTTATGGGCCGGAGATTGTCCTTCTTAAATGGTGCCCGACACAGGGGACAGTGGGACCTCCTCAAGGATGATGTCCCTTGTCGTTGATTAACAAGTAAATCTGTTATGCACCCGCGGCAGAAGCTGTGCCCACAGTCGATGCTCACGGGCTCTGTCATCAGCTGCAGGCAGATGGGGCACGTGGCTTCCTCCCTCATCTTCTTGGTAATGAGGGCTGAGGCCATGGCTCTCTGAAAACTCCAATATTGTGGTTAGAGGCAGACAGAACTTTTCACAGTGATGGAAATACACATAACCTGGATATTTGTGCCTCTACTAATCTTGAAATCTTCTGTCTAGAAAGGAAGTGGATTGAAGTTTGGTTGTTATTTATGGTCACTAAAACATAAAATGAAATTTAAAATTCAGTTTCCTATCCACTAGCTGTGTTGCAGCGGCTTACTATCTGCCTGCAAATGTGGGTACTTGACACCCCAGAGACAGAGAACATCCCATCTTCATAGAAGACCTTCTTGGAGCTGGTGCTAAGAGGGAGAGAAGCAGCACTGGCTTATCATCAAAGTTTCAACAAGATTTAGAAATCTGGGAAGGAGAGTGAAACACTTTCCTAGTAAACAATAATACTTAGCACCTGAAAACTTCTTCGTAGGTGGCAGTAACACTTAGGAACTGGGGGGACTGTGAAAAACTCCCAATCACATTTAACACTACTTACCTCACGCCCCCAACTCTCCCTAACCCAACTTCACCCCCAAGCAACAAAACCAGTAAACAGTCTCTGTGGAGACCCTACCAGGGTCACAGTCAAAATCAGCAACAAAACAGGAAGAAGCAGGTATTGGGAAAGAGCTGGGAAGAGGAGTGGGCCCTGGAGCAGGGTCTCTGGAGACCCCCTATGAGCACTGTCTCTTCTCCAGGCCATGACTGTCTCCCAGGAGATTTAGGGTGACTGGATGGAGGGAGTGTGTAGAACCCAGGAAGCAGTGGGTAAGGCCTGGCCTTACCTGGGTGTTCACCCCCTAGCATCACAGTGAGGATCTGACACCCAGAGACACGAGGGGAGTGATTAGGGGCAAGAGTCAGTCCTTCCCACATGAGGCTGCTTCTGGAACCTAGTGTTATCCCGCTTTTCCCATTCCTGGGTGGCTTTTGCCAGAGAGTGTCATCAGGAAGAACACAGAGAACTACTTTCCTTTGACATGGCAATTCTCTGAATTCAGAATTGGGATTCAACTAAAGTTGATGATTTGATTATTTTGCTCCAACAATAAGGACAAAGCTCTCCAGTCATAGAGAATTAAATGGAGACTTCTTTTCCTTCACACCTTATTTCCCTCAAGGGACCGTAGATTCATCTAACCTAAGGGCTCTGTGCTCCTGGAAAGAAAGGCCTCCCCCTCCTTACACCCAGGGTGCGGGTCCTGGGCCTTCACTTACCTCTCATGCACGATCTTCTGAGATGGGGCGTGAAAGAGAAAGAGAAAGAGATGGTGAGAGAGGGCTAGAGAGCAAACCAAACCAAAAGTGCTTTTGCCTAACCAAAGTGCTTTTGCCACTGCTGCCCTCCCACCACGCACACACATGCACACACAGACACATTAGCTCTTCCTGACACACCTTGGCCTGGCGTCGTTCACCTCCTGTGCCACTCAGCACAGCCGCACACTCAGGGTGGGGTCCCTCCAGCTGCCACTCCCTGCAGCTACAAAAAGGAAGTGAGCTCTGATCTAAATCAGAAACGAAACTAACATGTAGGAAGGCAGACTCCTGGACATGGGGAGGAAACTGTGACTCTGTACACATGTCCCAAATGGGAGGGGGACACAGGAGAGGACCCTTTCATTTACAGCAACAGCAGAAAGGATAAATGGTGGCCTAGGACGCTTCTGTCACCCCCACAGTCTCCGCAAATCAGCAACTTGCAGAGGTCACTTCACAGACTCTGACCTGAGCTCTGTCTACTTTTGCCACCAGGCTGCTTGGGAGTCCAAGACTCTCCTCAACCATATTATCCTTGCAATTTCCAGCCCTTATTGTTGCAAACTGCTCTGGAGGGTGTGGTGGGAAAAGGGGGTGACAGCAGCAGGGCTCATGGATACTGCAACACTTCCCCACATCATCCTCCCACTCTTGTCTTCTCTTGCTGCGTCTTGCTTTTCTCTTCAGTTTTGCTCTGCCTGACTGATGCGTATGCCGGAGTCACCACACAGGAGAGTACAGGAGCCATGAGGCCCCTGCAGTGAGTGGTCTGCACCACGTGGGAGCTGCGTCATCAGTGGCCTGTGCCACTGGGGGTCAGGGGACAAGCATTAAGTACCTCAGTGCCAGCACCTCTAGTTCAATAAAGAACACTATATTGAGTTACAATTAATGGAAAAAACAAAACAAGGCTCTGCCATATTTATAGCCTCCGGTATAAAAGGCATTTTTGATAACAACATAGTATTTTTGCTTAAGAACTAACTTCTGCAGAGTCTGAGGGGCTGGTCGGGAGAAGGGGGAGCCAGTCAGGTGAAGCGAACTGGGATTCTAGAGCTGCCTGGCTGCTCCCTGGGCCCCGGTGCTTGGCTTGGTGCTGACCTGAGAGCCATCTGGGGTCTGTCTGGCAGCTGACCTGCAGAGGAACCTGGGTGTTGCCCAGCCACAGGCCTGCCGTCCAGCAGCTCAGGCCCGAGGCCCAGTTGTGACCCAGGTACCTCTCTTCACACGCAAGAGAAGTTTCTTCCAGGTCTACACCCACATTCTTGTGCCCAGAGCCTCTGCCCATTTCCACTCATGACTCATCATGTCCTGGCACAGGTTGGGGAGGAGACACCACACAGGGGCAGGACACCCCTCTGAGGCATTCAGCTCTGGAAGAGGTGGTCCCTGATCTTATGGTGACTTCTCTTCTACCTACTTGCACCATCACTGTCATGGTTGAGACTCTGGACCAGTCATCCCGAGTTGCCTTGTCAATGGACCAAGAAAGGAGATGAGGGACCCCATGAAGGATCAACCACCCCCACACAGCAGCAGCAACAGACAAGAGCACAAGCTCACGACAGGGTCTGTCCTGTGACCACTGCCTCCTTGGCACCTGCTGTGTGAAGGAGGAGATCATGTAGAGCTCAGGGCGGAGAGGGGTGGGGGATGCAGAAGAGCCTTCAGAGAAATGTCCCCTAAGTGGGGAGAGCCCAGTGCTTCATGTGATGTGTGTGATGTGCTGAGACAGCTCAGGAGAGATCAGAGGGAGCCCCCCTGGGAGCTGCATCTCCTCCAGATAGTGGGGAGGTTTCCCCCTACAAGTCTGGGTGCAGGAAGTCAGATGCCCAGACTCGGGAGTGTTTCCCTGGATTGACATGAGTGGTCTTTGGAAAACTGTCACAGAAATCCTTAAGGAACTTTCCTCAAGTCCTTCAGCTGTCTCCCCTCAACCAGGATTACCGTGGCCTCCTGTAGGAAGATGCACCTCTCGCTCAGTTGAAACTTGCTTAGGGCCTTTATTTTGTTCAGGGGCTCTGTTTTGCTTCCAGGCATTGTTCACTGAACATTTACTTACCTGCTTATTTCCTGCTTCCTTCATGGGAATTCAGCTCCAAAGGGTAGAGATTTGTGTCAGTATCATCAACTGACAAATCCCAAGTGTCTAGAAGTTACAGCCCAGTGTGATCTGTGAAACCAGAAAATGATATTCTGACATACTCTCGACGCAGCCCCAAGCAAGTACGTGCACACAATGGGTGATGGGGGGACATGCGAGAGGTGTGGTGGTCATGGTGTGGTGTGGGGGACATGGGTGAGGATGGTGGGCCGTGAGAGGGGTGTGGTGGTCATGACTGTTGCATGTGAGTGACATAGGCATGTGTGAGTGTGTCAGATACTTCATGTGGTATGTATGGTGTGTAGTAAATATATGTGTGTGCGTGCTATGTATATTCGGGGGATGTGGTATGTACCATGTGCCAAAACCTGGGGTTTGGGTTAGTATGATGAATTGTCTGTGGTGTGTGTAGTGGCTGTGTTTATGTATATGCATTTTGTGGGTGGTAAGCACGGTAACCTCTGAGCAGTACCAGAAATTGCCAGAATTCCTGACAGTCACTGGTTTCTAAGAGAGCTGTTTCCCTTAATGGAAGAGAAGATTTGGGACTCTGGAAGGAGCTTAAAAGAGATTCCACCTGCATGCAGCCATCTGGGGTTACATATCCAACTGTGCCATAGAGTTTCTGAGTGGGGAAGCTACTGGAAACTGAGGGTAGCCTCATGAACCTATATACACAGAAGACTGGTGGGTTCCTTTCTCTCTTGCTCCTCTATCTTCAACTTGAACAGAGGACTTGGAAGAGAAATGAGTAGAGACCAGGGAGAGGTACTTGCAAAAGATATGTGGGTGTGAGACACGTGGAGAGATAGTTTCTTGTCCTTGGCAGACTCAGTGGCTGTCATAAAAGAAGGTGCAATATTTTGCATGTTCTCTCTGCTTCTGACCCAGTTCTTTGGGAACTGCGTGACCCTTCTCTGGTGCTTCCTTACCAGAAGCTGTCAATAGTCAGGCCCCACGACAGGCCAACCCTATTTGACTGGGCATTTGTATGGTTTCACCCCTTTTAGAATCTGCACCCTTAATAGTTTAGGGCCCCAAAGGTGACCCTCGTGTACAGAAAACTCCAGACTTAATACCTACATTAACTGTAGTTTCAAGCCTTCCCTCTGGGTGGATGCATCCAATATCATAAAAACCACACTATTTGCTCTTCCTTGTGAGAGGATGTCAGAATATTTCAAAGTCAACACACATTGATTTTTATCGCAACTATATATTATTATAACATATTGCAATTGGGTGGCTTTTTGTGGGTATCATTAATGCTGTTTGAGAGCAGGCTGACTACACCATGGTGCTGGGCTTGGCCAACTCAGGTCAGATCATTTCAGTCCCACATGGAATGCACCCGTGAATCACTAAGATACACAGGTAGTTGATCAATCTACTTGATCAATCTGAATCATAATAAAAACTTTCAAAATCCTGACACTGATAACTAATTTTTGACATTTTAAAATATTTCAAGATGGGTGACACTAGCAGTCTGGAATAAGTCAACTTTATTTCTAGATTGAGTCCCCATCAAAGCTCATTTTTATACAGAATCTCCTCCCAGTTTCAAGCCTGTCAATGCAAACTACTGTAACTCTTCTCATCCTTTACTGAGTTAGGATCCTATGCAAGTGGACTCACTAGGCTGGTAGATATCTGTACTTACTATGCCATCCAGGACTGCGCTCCCACCAGCCATGAAATGTCAGTGATTAGAAGAATCTCTGCTATTTTGAGTTTCCTGCTCTTTTATGCAGCTGATAGAGATGCCTGCAGTTTCCTGTACATGCACACATGTCTTCACATGGCACCAAACACATGGAGAGCACTCAGCCCTCTAGACTCCCGGTCACCCTGCTGCTCAGACCAGGACTCCTGGAAATCAGGTCTCTGAACTCAGTGAAGAGGGATGGAGAGGACGATGGACTATCACTGCTATTTTCTTCTTTTTTCCCCAGTGAAGGCTGATCATCTGCAACATTTTAGCCATTATGTCCATTCATAATACAGATTTATTGCAGAGTCACTGAGAGCTCAGCAAGTTCTGAGTATAAGGAAAGAGAAGTGAAGAACATAGGAAATTTCTACCTTCACAGGGTTTTCATTGTATTTGATCATATCATCATGTCATTATAATGGTATCATTCTCTACGATCCCAAAAAAGAGGCAATTCCTGGTTACTCATCCGGTAGAGGCAGGAATAGAGGAGAAGACGGATAAACCTGGGTCGGACAGTGTCAGAGAAAGAGGTCTTCAGAGGGGTGAAGATGTGGGAGCCAGTCAGCATGTTGTAAAAGGACACAAGTCCGGCCTCACAGTCCAGGAAAACCCCCACAACCAGGGGCTGCTTGCTCAGAGAAAGGGAAGTTGGAGGTGAGGTCAGGGCTGCATACTGTTGCCCTCTGCAGAGCCTGAAGGCCCAGACTTCAGACTGAAACTTGAGATTCCTTGCAGAGGCCCAGCACACAGTTTCCAGACAAACTCCTAAGTCCCACTGAGTTCCTTCTCCCACATCCACCTCAAAGTAATGCCTTCCAGAGGTGAAGCTCTCACAGCCCAGGTACTGGTTACTGGTAACGCACAAAAGGTAACGCAAGGTAACACACAAAAATCTCCTGGAAGTGCTAAGCTTCATCTTGGCATCTTCACAAGCCATTTCTCTTCCATCCTTAGACACAGTTAGGCCAACATGAGCTGTATCTGCATCCAGAGTCACGCTGACTAAAGAAAATGAAACAAACAAACAATCAAAACCAAAACAAGACGTGTTTTTTATGTCTTATTTTTAAATAAATCTAGGCTATGTTCAATTGCAAACTTTTTCTTACTATTAGCTGTGTGAGTCATTCTATAAATTGCTAAATTACATTTAGCAGAAATCATCATGTTGGCACAAAGAATTGTGGGAAAGATATTGGAATGAGCTAATACAAGATTAGTGTTTGGTGAAATTCCTGGTAGAAGCTAAGTGATAAATATGTGATAGTAAAAGTAAATGTCATCATTATCTTCATCATCCTCATCATCACCATCTTAGTCACTCAGAGAAACCAAGGACCAGAACTCCTCAGGGTGGACATGGTTACTGTCCTCCCCAAAGCCCTTCCTCTTGCAGGCGGGAATCATGAAGATAACAGTAGTCAAGTCCTTCCCTTTACTAATAACCACCCACTCCAAAGATCAGAAAACACAATGGCAGAGCTCATGTCATAACTTGTGACTGAAGTTCCAGGATTTCCCCAGGTATCAGGACACACGCCAGCCCCATGGCTTATAAGTGAAGCTCTTCTGACTTGCTTGAGAAAATGTTCCATAGGGATTAGTATAAGGAAATAAACTCAACACTGATAGCACAAAAAGCATATAACTAGAATCAGGTTGAATAGAAAAATATGTGATAAGCTAAAGTTGATATTTGCCAATAGAGCAGTATTAAAATGAAGAGAGCTAAGGAGTTTCCCGTATCAGTTACCACCCACTGTAACTGGGTCACAACAACAGCTGGTGCCCAATAAGAAAAACCAAGTGTGCAAAACACTTCCTGTATTGACTGCTCCCTCCCTCTCCTCTGTATCACTCCCCAGCTTCCTCCTCTCTGCTGCCACCAGGAAGGCTGAGCCCTGTGGAAACATCAACCAGGCTCCCTTCGCTCTGACTTCTCTTTCCTTCAGTCAATGTGAAACACAACAGGAGATGTGGCAAAAAGAGTTTGACTCATGGGTTAGGAGTACAATATAAATACGTTAAAAACTAGTAATAGCGCTTGCTTCAGCAGCACGTATACTAAAATTGGAATGATACAGAGAAGTTTAGCATGGCCCCTGTGCAAGGAGGTCATGCAAACTCATGAAGTGTTCCATATTTTTAGAAGTAGAACTATCATGAATGCAGACAATATGAAAATATACATAGAGGACCCTAAAAACTCCACAGAGAAACTAATCAAAATAATCAACCGGTTTAGTAAAGTAGCAGGATACAAAATCAACACACAAAAATTAGTAGCCTTCTTATACATAAACAATCAATCTGAAGAAGAAGAAATAAAGAAAACCATCCCATTTATAATTGAAACAATAAAAAAACAAATACTTGGGAATAAGCCTAACAAAAGAGGTGAAGGAACTATATAAGAAAATTATAAAACACTGTTAAAAATAATTAGAAGAAGACACAAAGAAATGGAAAGACATCCCCTGCTCATGGATTGGAAGAATTAACATTGATAAAATGGCTATCCTCCCAAAAGCCATTTACAAATTCAACACTATTCCAATGAAAATCTCAATGACATTCTTCCAACAAACAGAGCAAATACTGATGAAATTCATATGGAACCACAAAAAACGGCAAATAGCCAAAGCCCTACTGACAAAAACAAAAGAGAATGGAGGTATCACACTCCCAAACTTCATACTATACTACAAACTTATAATAATTAAAATAGTATATATGGCCTGGAACCAGACACACAGACCAATGGACCCGAATAGAAAGCCCAGAAATAAAGACACACATATATGAACAACTAATCATTGACAAAGGAACAAAGAATATACAATGGAACAAGGACAGTTTGTTCAATAAATAGTGCTGGGAAAGCTGGACCATCACAGGCAAAAGAATGAAACTACACCACTACCTCTTGCCATACACAAAAATCACCCCAAGATAGATAAAAGATCTGGACATAAGACCTGAAACCATAAAGAATATAGAAGAAAATATAGTAAAACACTACAAGACATACATCTCAGTAACACTTTCAAGACTCATCACCTGAAGCAAAGAAAGACAGGAAAAAATAAACACCTGGGATTACATCAAATGGAAAAGCTTCTGTACAGCAAAAGAGACATTAACCAAAACAAAGAGACACCCCACTGATTGGGGAAAAATCTTTGTACTCTATACAACTGATAAGGGACTGATCAAAAAGGTTTACAGAGAACTCACACAACTCAACAAGAACAAAGTAAACAATCCAGTCAAGAAATGGGCAGAAGAACTTAAAAGACATTTCTCCAAAGAGGAAATGCAAGTGGCCAACAGTCACATGAAAAAATGTTCAACATCCCTTATAAGCAGGGAAATGCAAATCAAAACCACAAGGAGATACCACCTTACACTAGGAAGAATGGCACATATCAAAAAAACTAGCAAAAACAAATGTTGGTGAGAATGTGGTGAAAAAGGAACTCTTCTACGTTGCTGTGGGAGCTCAAACTGGTCCAACCACTGTGGAAAGCTGTCTGGAGTTTCCTCAGTCTTCTAAAAATGTAGCTACCATATGTCCCAGCAATTCCACTCCTCGGGATCTACAAAAAAATTGATTCAAAAGAATACCTGTACTCCTATGTTTATTGCAGCACTATTTATAATGGGTAAAACCTATAATAGGTTTTACAAATGCCCAAAAATACAACACAAATGCCCAAAAGCAACCCAGATGACTGGGTCAAGAAGATGTGGTGTATATACACAATGGAATACTATTCAGCAATCAAAAAAGATAAACTCATGCCATTCGCAGCAACAAGGATGGAGCTAGAAGGAATCATGCTCAGTGAAGTAAGTCAGAAGGAAAAAGAAAGATGCCAGATAGTTTCACTAATAGGAGGAATATAGGGGAACCAAGTAAGACATCAGGAGGAAAAATCATAATACAAAACAAAACAAAAACAAACAGACAATTATAAACCAGAGACATCCTGCAGGGGAGGAAAATGGAGAGAGATCAGAGGGAGGGAGGGAGGAGCTCAGGGGACTGAGGTGATGGTGCACGGGTGCGTTGGTGAAGGAAATTCTATGGGAACTACACCTGAGGGGCAGGAGGGGGAAAAATAGCAAACATTGTTTAAAAATTAAAAATGATGTAGAAAATATATTTTAAAAAAAACTAATAATAAAGGCTCAGCTATGTATGGATACATATCTATCTATACACATGTGTATAGATATCTATTATTAAAAAATAGGAATAGAAATGATTGCATAAATGTGTACAATGGGACAATAATAAATTGCTACATATGAAAAATGAGACATAATAAAATTTTCCAGAATTTTCAGGAAAGCTATAGCCTTTATTAGACCTGTTTTACTTAGAGAACAAAGATGAGAAACGCTACATTACATACCAAACATCAATATATTTATATTCACAGTACAAAAGACTAGGGTGGTTTCATTATCAACCAGAGAAACAGTTCAGAAGTCAAGTTAAGGAGCCAACACACAGTCGTCAGAGAGCTGCACAGGCGGGTTATAGGAATGGAAAGGAGGGGCCTGCAGGAGACACTGAAAACACGTCACACACTGTATTTAAGAGCGCTGATGCCTAAGTAGCCTCTCTGAAACTCTCCTGCCTGTCTTTTTCTGAGAATGCATCTATGGTTCAACATTAGAAAGCAAATTTTCACAATCACCACATTATCTGATAAAGGGAGAGAAATCTCATGATGTCACCAATTAATGCAAAGAGCTCATTGATAAATTTTGTACCCAGGGATGACTTAGCTCTTTAACCTTGAGGAAAATGTGTCAATACAAACACTGAAACTTCACATATCCAAATGCAAGACCAAGGGCTAACAGACTTACAAAAAGAGATTGAACACCATTAGTGAGAACAGAGAAATAAAATTAAGTCCATAATTAGGTACATGGTTAAATCCACTGGGTTGTCAAAAGTATAAGTTGTTCACCAAGTCACATGGGATTGTGCTACTTTGGGGAGTCCCCTACTGCAGGTTGGTACCATTCATGCAATTTTAAGATCTGCATATCTAGTAAAATTAAAACATGCATCCCTACACAGCACCTTCCACACAAGGTACATCACTGAAAAAACCAATCAAGGAAACAAGGAATTATGAGCCAGAAATGTTCACAGTAGTATTTTGTGCAAGAACACTTAAAAAAAAACAAGAAAATAACAAGAGAATTTAAAACTTCAATTAAAAAAAATCATATTCATTTATTACCATACTGCAGAGTGACAAACTGTTCTCAAGATACGGTCTCAGTCCCCAATTCTCCATGTGGGAACTTACAACACTCACTTCACCTCCTGTGTCTCAGTTTCCTCATGTATAAACTAAAGAAGCTTCCTACAGGGGCCTCCCTGGTGGCGCAAGGGGGTAAGACACATCCTATGAAGCTGTCTGCAGTCTCTGCAACACGAGTTCTATCCCCGATGGTCAGGAAGCAACCCACATGGCACAGCAGACCTCTCCTGTCTCACCCGCTGTTCCCCTGAGCAGTGTACTTTGGTGTTTCCGCCTGTTCTGTTCCCCACTCTGTCTCTGGTGAATCCGCTCACCCCAAACCCACACCTTTGGCCTATACCCCACCCAGCTCTTGTATGCATACATAAATAAATCTTTAAAAAAAAGGCTTCCTACAGTGAGGACTGTGGGATAAAACAGGAGAACACATGTGAAACCCTTCTTGTCGGCCACAGAAAGCACTCAGGTAGGCTAGAGGAACCTTGCAGGTGGCAGTACCTGTTGTTCCACTGGAACAAGCTACCTGGTTACAGGCATCAAGATAACACCTTCTAGCAACCTGGGCCTTAGGAATATGCCTGACAGATTGAAAGCTCCAGGATATAAGGCTGTATGGACTAGAATATCACTGCAGCATCGCTGTCACCCCCCAGTGCCGGAGAGCCTGAGGCCCCATCAGCAGGGATATGGTTACATGTAGTTGTAAAGCTCTCATGGAGAGGTAGCTTTACATGTAATCAACGAAATGGAAAAGAGAGTCTATGCATTCACTGTCTGTACCAATACAGTGAAAATCTTAAGTATTGTTACCTGGAAAAGTAGGACTGGCGAGGAGTGGGAGAAACCTTGAACTTCTTCATGCCTATTATTCTGTTTAACTGATTACAATTTATTGCAATAATGAATGTAGCAAAAAAAAACCCAACTTTAATAAATGAGGATTTTTAAAAGAAGGACAATTATTTAGTGAAGATATAAGCTCATCTCAGACACAGGCTGATTTGAACCATGTTGTAAAGTTTGTATAAAAGATAAGAGTAGACAAATCAACTCAGTGACATTTGGTCCTGGCTTGTATACGGTTGCTTTTTCCTTCTTTGCATCTTTTTTGGATCACATTCGTAGATATTTATTTTGGTATTTGGCACTGACATTAATTTGGGGGAATCACATACAGGTCCATAATCCCTTATCTAAAACCCTGAGGCCAAATATTAAAATTCAGACTATTTTTCATGATACAAAGACAGACAATAAATACACTTGACATGATCTGTCCACTACCAGCAGGGTCTCGGCAGCCTTGTATCAAATGCATCAATATTCCTGCAGCAGGTGGGATAAGCCAGATTGCAAATAGACTCAACAATAAAAAGCCTTAATAATGGGGGTTTTAAAAAGAAGGTGATGTATTCAATTAAGAGACAAGCCCAGTGTTTAGGAAAAATGAGGAGAGTGGCTACCTGGGCTGGTGCAGTTTATGAATGTGAGGGGGAGTGTGAAGGGCCTGCACAGATCCCCAGAAGGCTATGTCCTGTGTAAGCACTGGATCATCCTGACAAGGGAGAGGGGACACCTCCACAACAACTCAACAATCTCTCTGGCTATGAGTCTCTCCAGGGGCAGGTGGTGAGCAGGATTACCACGACGGTATCTTTCAAGTATAATATCTAAAGAATTCTTGGCTTTCCATACCTTGGTAGCTCTTTAACATTTTCTTCACATCCAAGTAAAGCTCAGGAACATTACACACAGTGTGGAGCTCCAGAGAGATGGCCTCTGGCACTTCCAGCTCCACAGCTGACTCCTAGGATCAGCAGAGGACAGAGATAACTTTAGTGGGATGGACCATTGCC